ATCGCTCAAAATCAACCCACTTAATAGATGGGTCGTCGTCTTTTCTGGGGGATTCTCTCTAATTTTTCGGGCCTATCGGCTAGCCAAGCACGTTTCGTAAGGCCTCAGGCTTGAGTCTTCCACTTGGCCGTTCTCAAGGCTCGTCCGCTATGCCAACGGAAAGCTTAAAGAAGCGCAGTCCAATGTTTGACCCCATCCTTGGATGTCATCTGTTGCAGAGCTTGGGACAGCCTTTCCTCACTGGTGCCAAATGCATGATTGATCTGTACGCTCGGCCTTGTGGTGGGGGCGGGTTTTCAAGCGAGACCAAAAGGGCATCGCACAAGTGGAGGATGCGTGAGGAGCGAGTCGAGCTCGGCTGTTGAGGACCAGCAATCTGGGCCTGAAGGGGGCGGGATGTCTGTTCGCTGTTCCTGGATCTGGATCCTTTCGGCCCTGGCGGGGAAACACCCGGCTTGCGGTACCTGCTACTGCAGCCACTGGCGGAAGGGCACTATGACTAAAATGGTGCTGACTCCATGCTCTCGTGTACTTGCCCCATCCTGATTGAACCAATAGCAAGAGGAGTTCTCCTGAAAGAAAGAACTGTACGAAGGATATCTCTTTCCTGAGGAAGAAAAACGAGACGTCCTCATACGTTTGGCTTCCCGTCAAGAATTGAGCTTGACCAACATTGTTGAGGTAATCGGAAAATCCACATCTCATCAGTACCTTATGTTACTAGAGAGAATATCTACTATATTTGTGTTGAGGTTGAATGAAAAGTGATACCCAGTGAGAAGGGGTAGGAAGGTAGGATCGAGGAATTTCGTCACCCCATCCACCTCCCCTCCACCAGTCCCTTCGATCAATGCCTCTCCCCACAATCCGCTCCCCACTTCAGAAGCTCCTTTCGTCCTCGGTACATGAGCGGGAAGGTGCCTGATTAGATTTCACATGAAGGGAAATCCCAAGGAAGCTTGACCGCTTGTCCGTAAGCCAGGTTTCAACAGGCAAGGGCGGCTGCAGGTTCGGGCTCGTACGTATTCGATGGCTGGTCTAAGAAGGCCGGCTGTGCCACAAGAATGACTGCAAACGAATTTGGCCATGTGGACAAGCATGATATCCTAGCAGTTGACGTCGAGATGGTATTAAGGAACGGGCCCAGTGGGGTATTATGAGCATCGGTTTGGGATGGACAGCCTTTGATAGCATCTGGTGCAGATGGTATTAAAGGCTAGCTAGGACTGTGCACACTGAGGAAGCCTTTGGCTGGCCAGTCACTCCCTGGCCAGCGGGTGTGTACTTGTACAATGTGAGTTTGACCCAGCACAGCTGATTAACCTCGTATGAAGCTGACCTGAAAGAAGCACATCCGCCCTCCCAAACCCCACATCAACAACCGCCGTCGGGTTCAGGCTGGTTGATAAAACAAGCGGAACAGGCCAGGCGATCGACCACAACACCGCCCTTCAGTTGCTGTCAAGCCAAAGCCTTTCCTTCTCCCGTTTCAGGTCAAGGATCAACGGGATCGCCATGGCCTTCTGTCATCGCATCAGGAATTTAGGGATCGAGAGGGGTGCAGGGCTGTTGTTCTGTGTTTCATTCGCCAGACCTGGACAAAATATCATCCGCAAACTATACCTCATAATATTCGACTTATAGGTTGGCGTATGTAAGGGCAGCTCACCGGACCTTATTTGGCGCATGTTTTGATATCCTCGATCATATCAAGGACTTGACGAGGGAGATCAGCAAGGCGTGGCTTGCGTCGGGGGTCAAGCCATGGTGGCACAATAAACCAAGGATCAATACATCAGCCGCTGAAACATATTGTGCCTGTTTTTCACGATGAAAGAAGAGGCTTCGAGGCTGCCTCGAGGATCCGAGGTTCAAATTCGACGAAGAAGCAAAAGTGTACCGAGATGAATGTGATTTCTAGATGACTGGTGTGGCTTGTTCTCTCCATACTTCTGCAGCTCGGTCCCGATGCGTCTTCCTACTTGCACGCTCGCCTCACATCCGTCCTGCTTGTTTAGGATTAGCAAGGGGTATTCAACTGCCCCGCCACTGTCTGCATCGCGCAACATGTCATGGTCCTGGCTCGCGACCCTAACCGCTTGTTGTCTAGAACACCCTGTAACTCAGAGGCATTGCTACGGATCTCAGACAGAAGCGTAGATTGGGGAGAAGGGCGGGCTGCACCAACCAAAAATATCTGCCCTGCTATCCTCACGAGCCAGGTCTCCTTCCGAGGCACAAACCTCGCTGACGTCGCCAGAGCAGCCATCCCCGGATTCACTTCCTCTGAGCATCTGCCACACCAAGCACACTACCGACGTCTATATATTAGTTGGGGGTCGTCGGCTTCTTGGGCAGGAAACGAAACTCTTGCTTCCGATCCTGTTCTTGAATCCAAGTATTCAAAAAGAACATTGAAAACAAATAACGCGCGGGCCGGCGGGGTTATTCTCCAGTTCCCCACAGAAGTATTCTCGGAGCTGGTCCCGATACTACTGGGTTTACGACATCAACCCGGGAGCCACGAGACTTGTTTGCAGTGCTCGCGCTCTCTTTACATTCCTCCATTTCGACTACTCCCCCTCCCCTCCCACTCACAACATTGAACCTTTTAGCGGCGGGGTGCAGGCTGCCATTGCCGGGGTCTTACACCATCGTTCCATATTGCCTCCCGCCCAGAGCACCCACTTCTGACCACCGTGGACGAACGAACAATTCGCCGTAATATCCAACTCGCAATTGACCCGGGCACGCGACTCGGCCAAGGCCAAATTAGGCGGCCACCAATCCACTTCTCGCGTGGTCAGGCGCTGAACCATTATCGCCTTTCCCTGCTTCCTTGTCGGTCGCATTCGTTGGCGCTGTTATTATTATTCTTAGCATTGCACCCCATATTTCGCCTATTATCACCTGCAGCTTCATTTCCATCCTCTTGGTCCACCGGCCCTATTCAAGGTAGCGAGAGGCAGTCCACCGATCCCAAGAGTTGGACTGGACTGTGCGTCTTTTCCTCTCATCTTTTCGCGAACCGGCCCGATCAGAGGCAGAGAAGTAATACCTCGAGGTAGAGAGGTATTAGACAGGTGTTGAAAGAACCGGAAGAGACTTCTACTCCTCCCGATACCCGCCAACCTCGCCGAAGCCGTACTCGACTGTGTATGGCTTCCTTCACGCCAACCTCCAAGTACGAATACAGCCATAATTTTGCAGTCCAACAGCACACCGTGTTGCATCAGCATTAGATCTCTCTCCAACTCGTCCAACAACACACCGTGCCCTTTGCCTTCTCGGTCTCTTCCTTTGACCGTCTCGCTGCTGATCCTTCTTGATGCAATCGAGAACGTGTTAATAGGACGACCACTCGACCCAGCCGAAAGGCGAGCCCCCTCGCCTCTCCAACGGAAATCGAGCCTCTCTCTCCCTCTCTTGTCTTTTTCATTTCAATTTTTTTCCTCTCGCGTTCTTCATCATTACCTCGGTTCCTGCAGGAGGCTTTCCTCCAATACCTTCTCGTCCTCTCTCAGTTTCCGCTTCCCTCCTCCTTGCCCCTCTTGGACTGCTTCTTGCGCATTCATTTCAACCAAGAATCAAGGCATCAACCGGCTATTCCAATCTATGGCCAATTCAGAATTGACTGGATCGCGACAGTCTGCATGATTACGGGCTATTTGGCCTCATCCTCATTGCACCCAGATTTGACTGCTCAACGACCACGGCTATTGGTCTCCGTCATCCCTAACCTACCCCAACTCCAACTTTTGGTCCCCTCCTCCTCGAGGTCGTAGTGGGGTCTCATTTTCTGGCTAATTACCGTCTATCCAGTCCTGGACGAGGAATACTTGTAATACAAGAGTCGAGGACACCCAGCCCTCCGTCCATTGTCGAAGGCAAAGTGGCGCGGAACAGTGCGTATTGAATCAGCAACTGTGATTGCCTTCTCCCCGGATCCCAGTCGTCCTCCACCCTTGGCATCGCCAGGCTCACCCACCCCTGCAAGAACGCTACTTTGCACACCCTAGTCCATCCTCGAGTGGGCTCAAACACCAGAACCCCCTTCCCCTGCCGGAACTGCGCACAGTCACAGTCTTCCCATCCTTCTCAACCCCCTTGACACTTTCAGAGAAAACCACCGATGAGGGGGTCTGTACGAAAGAAGGATAGATTATGAGCGCGGACGGATATCTTCCATCAAGCTCCTGCCTTCCTTTCCTACATGACTAGCCCCGGAGTATTATTACTTCTGGTCCAGGTCCTGCACCCACCAAAGAGAACGGCTTGTCACCCTCTTCTTGTCGCTCCTTCGCTTTCCCACTGAGAGATCATTTCATATCTTACCACCTGCAGCGTGCAGTCGCGTGTGTGCGTGTGTGCGTGTGTGTATGTGTGTGTGTGAGTGCGGATGGTGTTATTACATCTCCAATACCAAATTCCTCGACTCTTCGGATTTCCTCCCGCCCCCGGTCCGTTATAACACAGACAAGGGAACCTAGGAACTGACAGGCATTTCTCCACTGCTTGACCATCCTTTCAATATATTGTTTTTAGCTGGCCTTCCCTCCCTTCCCTCGACACTCCTCCCTCTTTGTTTCTTTTTTTCTTCTTTTCCCTCTGCTATTTTTTTATCCTTCAACGGGAGAAAACCAAAACTTGCGGCGGACCGTGGAAGACATACGCCCTTGATCTGCGAGCACGGCTTGAACCACCAGGGAAACCGAAATAACCAAACCACCCAGTCTGTCTGGTCATAATTAGAACCATTCGAGAAACTTGGTAAACGCAACAACACAGACACCTTGTTCCGTGCATGCGAGCCTGTCCCAAGCCGCCCCTAGTTCCCCAGGCGAAAACTCCCAGCTCGAACTTGCGGCGACGCGCAAAGCAGGAGAAAAAGGGGGCCAAAACGGAACAGAAAAAAAAGGAGCCAAATACTGGACCCAAGGATTGGAGCAGCCTGCATCCGAGCTCCACGGCTCGATCAACACCCAGTGCATTAAGTCAAGATGTGGGTTGCAGCGGCACCGTTGCCGTACTACTCGGCGTACAAGGATACGAAAGAGAAGGTGAAGGCGAAAAAGAAGGCCGAAAAGGAAGCCGCCAAAGACGCGAAGGAAGGCCTGTCCCTCTCCCGCACGTCTGACACCCTGGCATCCGGCGCTGAGGCCTCGAGACCGACAACCTCGGCCGCCCCTACATCATCCACCGGAATCCCACTGCCAACTCTCCCCAACCTTTCCGCCGACCTTTTCGAACCCGCCATCGAAGGACCTCCTTCTCCCCGAAGACTTCGCGCACTCAGCAACAAAGTGAAGCAAGCGTCCTCTGCCGATAACAAACATCGTAGCCATCACCCCTCATTCTCCACCTCTTCCGCCCTCCACCACCCTCACAACGCGGAGCGCCCTGCATGGGACCAAGTCATAGAAAACATCTCACTCTCTCGCCGTTCCTCGGGCCGCTCCACTACCAGCAGTATGCCGTCGCGCGAACGACCGGACAGTGTCCAGATCTTGGGCAAAGCCATCTTCACCAGGAAGAATCGGTTGAGGCGAGAGAGCAGTGCTAACAGTTCGTCCGGGAGCTCACTCTACTCGGCGGAAATGCAGATGGACGGCCCCGGCGGATATGGCAATAAGGAGCCTTTGATACCAGCCCTCTTTAGCCGTAGTCGAAAGGCTGCCAAATCTGACCCTTATGGTGACTCGGTCATGGCCCACCCACCGTCCTCAGGCAAGCCGTTGATCTCGGGTCCCTACAACTTTCAGCACGTTACTCACACTCGGCGCGATCACCTTCCAACACTGCAGCGCGCGAGCCGTATGGAACTAGTTGCCGAGTTCTCAACGCTAAAGTCGATGCCTCATCCCACCGACATCCCCTCCGAGGGTAGCTACATGACAAATGCTCACTTTGCGGAAACGGAAACCCACACGCGGCCCTTTGGAGATCGACCATCACTTCGAACCAGGCACACGGCACCCAACGCAGGACCTCGTCGCCTTGTAAAGGCGTCGAAATCGCAAGAAAATCTTCGCGCTATCCCTCCCCGGCCTCCCCGGCCCCCTCGCTCACCCATAATCGAGTCCCAAGAATCGCAATACCAGGCGCCACCGATTCCGCCACCTCGGCTCTCGAGCCGACAATCTATCCGATATGGAGGGTATGACATGGCGGAGGTTGCCGCCGTCGAGCGCCCACTAACAAGCGGAGGGGGTTATAGCCAACCCGAGCATTTCCACTTTGCACAGGAAATGCACGGGTCGTACGCTCCATCTCACGGTTATTACCCCGAACCTATGGGGTATGAGGAGCCACTGCCCCAAAGCCATTACCTTCATGCAGTAACAACCCACGACGATGAGGCGTGGCCACTTACGCCACCTGTCCCCCTTCCACCCACCCCGCAAACCCTAACCGAGGTGCCAGAGGAAGAGGAGCCTCGAGTCCCGAAGAAATCGCGCTCAAGCGTTCTGAGCACTAGCTCGTCATTACGACGGAGCCGATCCGTTCCCCAGATGCGCCACTTAGTGGACGAGCATGAACCCCGCACCTCTCACCGCCGGCCGCCGAGCTCTGGCTCAGATACTTTAGGAAGATTTGATCTATTCGCTGCTCAACGAGCCCTCAGGGCCGCCTCTAGAGAAGAAGAAGTACCGGACGCGTTTGGCCGTAATTGGGAGGACGACATCGATTTCTGCTACGAGCATGAGCTCGAGGCGGACTGCTATTACGAATGGTCTCAAGGCTCGATGATGGGCGGCCTCGATGACGAGGGAGGGCCGACCCCGATGAGGTTGGAAACTTTCCAATCAGAGCAGAGTTTCAACTCTGGAAGCACACCCGACGCCACGTCGGGTTTTTCTTAGCCCCCGATCAGTACGATATGCCCGCCCTTAGCCCGGCGAGCCATACTTCCGTCAACGACCCCGAGGTGCTCACCCCGACCGCGCCGGCCGTGCTCGTAACGTCCAACTTTTCGCTCCCCGCAATGACAGTGGCCTCCAACTCCAGAGGCCGCGGGCCGACTCGCGCGCGTCGAGCTTCAAGGAGTCCCACGGGTTTCACCTCTCACCCTCCTTGCTCATCCCAACGGACTACCGGCAGCAGATGATGATGTGCGAGGCTGACATGTACGACAACGACGGTGCCATCTACATCGGGGGCTATTCCGCTTTCAACGACAAAATTTCACCCGCTCACCCTCCCAGCACTGTGGATAGGGTGAGCACTTCGACCATTGGAACCGACTCGACAGGGAGGTCGGGAAGCACTACCGACGAGCCGCACAAGTCGATGGCGTCGGCGTCAACTTCCTTTACTAGGTTCACCGCCGAGCACGCTGGTAACTGGAGCCCTAAAAGCGAGGCGCCGCCGAACGAGTGCAGCTTTGTCGAGCAGTTCGTTCCCGGACCCGTTCCCGCGGCTCAATCCTCGATGGACTTTGAGACCGCCGACCTTGCCCAGGCGCCGAAGCTCAAGTCTCGCTTGGACATTGGTCGCCCGCGAGCGAAGACGACGAGTCTCACAACGCCCCTCCCTTCGGGGGCAAATTCTCCCTCTTTCCCCGCCCGGACGCGATGAACAGGATCTAGGCTTGATGCCATCCTTTTATGCTTGGGGCCGTGGGCACACTCGCTTATTGCAACCATCTATTCTTCTTTTGCTTTATTCATCAGCGTTCGAGTCACTTTGTCCTCTTTCCGTCGCTTTTCTCAATTTTCTTTTTTAGAAACGGTCTTTTCTTTTCCTTTTTACTGCAGCTTTCAGATAGACATGCAGCGGCGTTCTCTCATCCAATCCACTTCCCGTCCGTCCTCCTCCTCCTCCTCCTCCATCTACGATTCTACAAAAGTATCGGAGAGGACATCCACTACATTCACCATGGAAGCTGTGAATCTCGATTCTATTTCCTTTGTCTCCTATACCTCTAGTCATTTCCCCGCCTCTTTACCGTCCTTGGCCGGTATCTCCTCCGTACGACACGCTTTTGGTCCGTGGGTACGTGTGTGAGTGTGTGTGTGCGCGTGTTTGCGTACGTGCATGTGTGTGTCAAGTGTCAAAACTTGCTGTTTCTACTATCATTTCTTTTGGACAACATCTATAGAGCGCATGGTCTTACAAAAATATGGAGGCAGCGGGATCGGGTTCCCCTACCTCACCTTTCTTTCTCACTCTCTCTCTCTCTCTCTTCTCGCGCGCAGCGGACGAAGACGGCCGGCATCGCGGCCGCATTCCAACATTCTTGTTTTTCTTTTTCCGGTCCTTGTTCGATTTCCTAGATGCTCTCCCTATCTCTATCTTTTCTTTGGGGAAAGGGGCAGACGCTGGGCCTTGGGCATGCTATTAGAGATGCGTGCGGAGGACACGGCCATGGGAACCAGAGAATGAATGATGGATGGGTCTTTCACCATCCCCCTTCCAAGAAGTTGAAAAGATGAAATACAAAGAAATTTTCAAAAAGTAAATATCCTCGCACACCCTATTCTTCCAGGTGACTCAACACATGACCTTTCCTTCTTTCTTCCCCCGTTCTCTTTTTCTCTTTTGTCCTTGCTGCGTCCTCGCCGAGGCGGGCAACGTAAACGCCGGCGGGAATATTCCGAATACAACCTGCCCACGCATCCTCTTCCTCGGGTCCTCGTACCACCTTTTACAGCATGACGCCGGCGGTATTCAGCCCCAGATGATCTATTAGACAATAATAGTAAAGATTGAAGTCTTAGGAACCCCTCCCGCCCATCGTCGTCGCCACCACCATCACGAAAATCTACAAGGCTGTCCCGAGAAGCAGAACCAGACATGAAAAAAGAAAGAAGAGAACTATTGTGGGAGAGACCGGGCTGCCATGCATCCCGAGCTGGGTTTTTGGGCTTGCATCGATAGCGGACACGGTAAAGTCCGAGGGAGAGCCTCAATATTACGGGCAGTGGCTTTTACTATCCTTCAGAGTTTGAAGCGCCGGGAAAAAGCAATGTAGGAAAGAGAGCAAACCTAAACCACCTGAAAGGGGCCCGGCAATAGTACTGAAAAGAGCAAAAAGCAAGAATGGAATAAGAAACAAACTACCTCGGTAGTCAATGCTTAGCCCACGGTTCGTCATTGATGAATCTATTCTAAAATGAAGGAAACTGAGCATTATGGAGAAACCAAACCCTTGATCCCATTTGCACGCCAAAAACACGTTGCAAGATCCTTCAAGGTGAACAACAATTGCGGCCAAAAAAGTCATTATACCCTTGCCCTCCCTTTGTTAACCAAATACTCGCAGGTATATCTCGTTTTTGTGCCTCGCCTTTTCTTTTCTATTCTCGTCAGGGTTGTATTTCGTCTTTTCTCTTTCGAGTACTGTGCATGTGTATCGTGTATCATTACCTGCAGAGTATAGTGTAAAGTAAACGTACGACCTCTCATCGTTCTCTTGTTCTCTTGCTCTGTCACCTCCCCTCTTGTCATTACTAGTATACCTAGCTTGTACCAGGACAAGCAAGCGCGCCCATCCAGCCAATGTGCATAGTGACCCTAGTGGTGTGAGAGAAAGGGGAGGAAAAATCGGGGGATGGTGGTTGGCGTCGAGCCAATGCACAAAGGTAGCATTCAGAGATTGACTCTAGATGGGGAAAGAAAAGAGAAATATTTGCAGAAACAAAACGGGCGGGAAAAAGGCCATGGGAACTGAGTCATAGGGAAGAACAAAAAAAAAAAAAAAAAAAAAAAAAAAGACAAATCAACCTTAGTATATTCGTGCCTTCCATTTTCAGAGGAAAAAGGTCCCAGAGGAATCATTCAACTCGAGGCCCAAGAAAAAAATTTAAAGGTCGTGGTGGTTGGAGGGTCATGGGTTAGAGCCCGTTTCGGACTGCGACTCCCTCTCGCTCCGAAGCATCTCGACCTGCTGCGCTAAATCGTCCCGCTCACGAGCGAGGGTGGAATTATTCCTCTCGAGCGACTTGATATGTCTCCGAGCCATTTCGAGCACCTCGGCTTTGCTCACTCTCCGATCAGTCGTGTCTGGCATGGGACCTTCCGAGTCATCCTCGTCGCCCGGGCCCCCGCTTCGCACATGTTCCGGGAGCGAATTGAGCAAGCTTTCGAATTGGGCATTCAGCCTGTTGCGATATTGCTTCTCGACAAGGTTGTGCGAGGCCCGGCTGCGACGCTCCTCAATGGTCTCGGCGGGCTTGTGATGCGTGTTTTTCGACATTCGCGAGGCGCTGCGGAGTTTGCTAGGGCGGGCGGTGGACGAAGACGACGATGATGGGGCCGTGACGCCGGGGCTCGGCGGCGCGTTCCTCGATGCGCCGGTCAGGGTCAGCGCGGTTTGATCGGGAAAGTCATGTTGCTGCGTGGCGAATTCGTGCGCGGGTTGCTTGTGGCGTTTTGACTGGGTTGCACCACTAGACCGAGAAGAGTCGTCTATTCCGGGTTGGCTGCCCTCGTCGGCGACCGACGATGGATCCTCGTCCTCATCTTCAGCTTCGTACCATTGTTTTCCCAGCGCCGCAGGGGCTAGGTTGGGCGATAATGGCGTACCAAAGCTGACGCTAGAATCCGAAAGCGCACCAGTCCAAGGAATATCGAAGTTGAACGAGGGTTGGGGCTGAGGCTGTGATTGTGTGTGCTGTTGCTGTTGCTGTTGCTGCCCTTGTTGTTGTTGTTGTTGCTGGTGTTGATGGGCACTGACGTCGTGGATGCCTGCAGCGCCGGCAAAGTGGAAGGAGGGATCGCCTTCTATAAGCTGGGCCTGGTGTGGGCTGAAACCGAACGCAGAGGCGGAATCGGGGGAAGAGTGAGGATAGGGAGCTAAGGGATGGGGATGGGCGCGGGCGTGGGCGCGGGCGTGGGTGTGAGTGTGGGCGTGGGTATGGGGGTGAGGGGCAGCATGGCCGGTGGATTGGGGCCAGGGGAAAATCCCCCATACGCCGGTTCATGAAGATGCTGGCGATCGATCTGCTGCTGTTGATGGTGCGGCGATTGCAGATGCGCGGCCGGGAAGCGCCGGGGATCCAGGGCCGTCGAGGTTGGGGTGGGTGGTAGAGTGTGTGGTGCGATTTGTCGGTGCGGTGCAGCCATGGGTCGATTTTCCAGCCGCGTGGCGTGTTCCGCGGGGCCACTAAGACTAGAGCCCCCAGCGCCGGCGCCCTGTAGCGCAACCGGGTCGAATTGTGGAGACATCGGCGTATTGATTGGCATCTGCTGACACTGCGTGAGCTTCTTTTTCTCTCCAACACGCCGGACCTTGCCTTTTTCTACCTCCTCTCACTCTTTCTCTCTCTCTTTCTCGTTCGCGCCCTCCCTCCCCTCCGCGTTCCCCCTCTTTCTTCGCGCTACTTCGACTGGCCTGGCCGATACACCACCTTTGGGAGGGATTCTTCATCTCAATACTACCCAATTCGCACCCTCGCCCACCCCCACCGTCTTCCCTCCTTGCGCAGCTCTCAAGAGCTGCCAGTCTCCCAAGCGATGTGAGGCTAACTCTTCTTTGCATAGCGCCCCTTGCCCAATATATTGGCACTTCGCGTCGCTTGTCGATGCAGCGTCGACCCATCGCACCCCCGCCTCTTCATCGCTTGGGACCTGGCACAGAGCCTCAAACCCGCACTGAATGGTTACCTCCACCTGGGTGAGGAGGTGCACGTCGACCATTCGGGAGGGAAGGAGAGTGAGAAGGTCCAAGGAGGCAGGCGAAAGGGGGTGCGATGCGGGGAGAGGAAAGGTGGGAACCGGGGAATGAGTGAAGGGGCGGATGCGGGCATGAAGGAAGGAAGCAAATGAAGGATGCATACTCACATCAGCTTCGTCGACCAAAAAGTCGATGTAGGCCTGGTCGCTCATAGCGTCCCTCGACATCTGGGGTGGACTTTGCCGGTTCATTCTAGAACTGAGTTCCTTGTCCGCTGGAGGGTTTTGCGCGAAGTTATGTTTCTCCTCCGTTGGTGAGTCTGCCACAAACCCTCTTTCCAGGTCGGTGGGGCACGCTAGCCCTCAGCTTATATTCCCTGACGATACGATTCTGTTGCCTTCCCTTGTTTCTCTCGCCCGTGCCCGTGGTCGCTCCTCGTTTTTCTAGTCAGGGCAGCCCTTGGCTGCTTTTGGACCTTCGCCACAAAGTGATTGATTTTGGGGGTGACGGCGGTTTTTGGAAGGAGGTGGCCGGAGCGAAACGGCGAACAGGGTATGTCACGATGGCGGGACTCCAAGGCGTTCGTCCATGAGACACACAAATTAAGCCTTGCACGCGCGTGACAACAAGGTATATCGGGGAGATTCCCCTCCTGGTCTCACGGAATACAACGAGAGCTACGCAAAGGTCACCTTTGTGTTCCGCACCTGACTTGAGGGGAAGGATTGCCTAAGCAGGCGAGGAACGAGGAGGGGGAAGGGTAAAAAAAAGAGGGAGCGGAGTGAAAGGCAGGGTCGGACGAGCTGAAGCGAGAGAGGCAAGTCAAGTGATTTTAGCGGGGGGAGAGAGAGGCAAGGAAAGGAAGATGCACGAAGTAGGTTGGTCCCACTCCTCCGCTATATGAGGTATCCGGTTGGGACGGTATTGCATCAAATCGTTTCCACTACTGGACAGCCGCCGATAGGTGGGAGGCTCCCGTTTCCAGGAACGCAAACTTCCATTACCAAGAACGGAATAGAAGCATCTAGGCGCTTCTGAAACTGGGCCAGGCCGCCCCGGATCTCCTCGCCCTCCGTTATGTTCAACTGGCACATGCGGCCCCCAGTACCAGTTCGCTCGGTTGAGTTGGTCCGACTCCGAGTGGATCACATCCGGGAATGGAGAGAGAATATGAGAAACCGAGGGGAGAAGAGAGAGGGGAGACAGAGAAGTGGGAAGGTATTTTAGCCCCTCCCCCCCCTCCCGACTCGAAGCCTCGCATTTCCAGGGAGTGCAGAAGTGGCATCACGGTGTCCTGACGGTCCCAAAATGGTCATGGCAGTGGTGGGCACGAGCACACAAAGCCGGCGGGAGCAAAATGTACAGCAACCAAGTGGCGCAGGCGCGCGGGCATGGGGTCGTGCAATGGGGGTTCCATAGGGCAGTAGGGCACTATGCGCGAGCGGCGAGCAGCGCCCAGCGAGCGGCCACACATGTGTGTGCTGCTCATATTAGGTAGGATGTGGGACCCGTAGGTGGGAAGATTCTGCTTCCGTGGATGCGCGGGCAAACGAGACCTACAAGTGACTCGTCAGACCACCTCCCAGAAAGCTCGGGACCCCTTCAACCCCTGTCCTAGCCGGAAGGGGAGGGTTCCGCCTCCGCCCTTTGGACCTTCGGGTCTTTGCTCCCCCAATGTTTCCTTCCAAGTGCAGAGGAGCCACCTTCATCTACCTCGGCCTACCATATCGGGGATCACTGATCACCGGGGAGCCCCAGGTGTCTGAATGGAAAGAGCATTGAACATCTTGAAGGAGATCAGTCGTTGCTTCGGGCCGCTCCTCCCCTTGTTTATACCATGCACTTGAGTGTGGTTTGCCACATAAAATCACACGAGGCTCTCCTTCCCGCTGCACCAGCTGGATCGCCGGTACTTTCTGCCGTTATTTGAACGGGCCCAATAGTTTATGACACCAACCCTTTCCCTCCTACCCGGGTCCGGGTCTGTGATTATAGGTGACCCTTGCCACCGTTGCACTCAAACACACCTTCATCCACTGTGGTTGAGTTTTCCTTTTTCTTTTTTTTGGTCGTAGCGGCCTAGTCCTAGAACGGAGCGTGTTATAATGTGTGCCTAGGTTGTCTACTTGCACCTTCCAATCTCCGTTGTGCATTTTGGTTCCTGATCTAGCGAGTGCCTGCATTGCTATTGCTTCTTTGCTTCGTTCTCGAGATGTCTCCTGCCATTGGATTGGTGGCCCACCAGCTGTTGAAGGGCCCTCCAATATTTCTTCATTTTTCCAGACCGAGGCCCCCTACGCCCTAGCCCTTTCCTCCAGTTTGCAAACCTCTCCTTCCATTAGCTTGCACGATTGCCGCTTTTCATCGATCCTTCTTCAGCTGTCTTGCGCACCGGGGCCCTCCTTGATTCACCTCGCACTTTGTAACGAGGCCGGAATCCTCGCACTTCGCTCCTTTTGGCTCTCTACACCTCACCTTGCGGTTACTTCAACCGTTAGCTCTTCCGTCGTCGTGCCTCTCGACCGTCTTTGGGCCGGCCTAGGAAGGCCGGAACCGCGTTACTACCCTCCCTTCCATGCAACCGACATCCTCTACCTGGGCTCACGGCGTTCCGTCTCCGGCCTGCCCGGCGCCTTTAATGGCGAACACATGCCGCCACTTTGGCCTACTGGTTATCTTAGCCTTACTGCGTCTTGTATACTTGGATCTTGTCGTTGTCATTGGCTCAACCGCTTTCCCCGGAGACCTGTCCCACGCGTTCTAGACCCTCGCTCAGCCCCCAACACTCAACACCCTCTTCTCAGCATCCCGTTCCGTAAAGGAACCTACGGCACCCATAAACGCCCCCGCGTTGTCAATCACAGCTCATCGAGCGATAATCCCCCACTGGCTGGCCGATGGTTACAAATCCCTGCAGAAAGACCCGCGAGTGCCTCATGAAGGGCTCGGTCGCCCCCTTTGCACCTGCCGACAAACCCGGAAAGATATTTGGCCGTCCCCCCTCCTTCTCCCAAGCGTTGGACGAAGAAGCAGAAAAGTTTTATGCTTTTCAATGACATTCTACAAATATACCGTTACCATCGACCAACGCTGATACGCCCACGCCATGCGAAAAGCTGCATCGGCATTTCGCTCTCTCCCGCCCTGGAACCTCCTCCCTGATTCTCGCCATGCAAGAGGCCTGATCCCTTGCTCGTTCGCATCGACCTGACGTGCTAGGATCGCCGATCCCTTCGATACCTCTCGTTTACTAATGGGCTTGCTATTCCGTCCTTCACCAGCGGTTTTGGAACGCCTGGGGAGGCCTGGTTCCCGTATTCCCTCACCGATTAGCCACAAACGTCGACTCACCGCCCCTTCCATCTTCACGACATGCCGACTTATTAGGCACTACTAATATGATGAGAAAATTCTAGGTAGCTCCGGAATAGCCTTGATTCAAGTCCTTCTTCTAGTCCCTTGCAGGGCTGCCCGACTCGTAAAGTACGTCAAATGGATTTAACCTTAGTCTTCTAGCCTGCCTCTTAGGAGCTGGGTTCCTTGCCGATCCTCAATCTCTGCCGAACCTACCATTCATCGGTCCGTAGACACATCTACATCGGGGCCCGAGCTCGAACTGCCGTTTCTGCTGATTTTGCCGTGTAGCGCGGCTGATGGCTTTTCCTTTAGCTCGTCACTTGATCCATCTTGGGAGCAATGGAAGTATCGCCAGAGTCAGCACGAATACGCCCCACGAAACAGGTCCTACGGGGCAGGATACCCTGTGCTCTTACTCCAAAAGGAGAACCCCCATTAAAGGAACCCCCGAAGGCCCGAGGGTGACCTTGATTGAGGCTTCCGACCCTGCGGTCTCTTTCCCGGCATTTCCATGACCCCACTAAGCCTCCGTTGTCTACTCTGTCCGAGTCGTGGGACCGGTGGGAGCTCCGGCCACTCTCGGTGTTGTTCTGCCACCTTGGAAAGCTTCATATCTTCCTCCTCCTTTCTCCCCAAGCCTCTTCGTGTCACCTCAGTTGTGCTTGTCATAGCCTCGATTTGTTGTCGCTGCCCTAGCTGTTACGCTTACGCGCGTCCCGCCCCCTCGTGCCCAATATACCCTCCGCCCACTCTGGTTGAGAACATATGCACTGGAGATACAAGACCGTGGGCATGAAGACTTTGTGGTTCCTTAGCTCTACCCTTTCTATCTTGCGCATCATACATCTCCCTTATTCTCTGTGTTTTGTATCGCGATATACTTGGAAGCAGTTATCTATGCTACTGTTCCTGCCAACAGCCTCATTCGCCATCATAGTTTGGGAACTAATATTGTAGAATTTTAGGTTCACTGTAAGGAGACTGACTGAAGGGGAGGATAGAAACGGAAGCGAGAAAGAAGCTAGAATGCCTTTGTTGCCACTCGCTAGGGTTCACAAAGTACTCTATAGAAGGCACTAGCATCGCACGTAAGACCTTTGTACGATGCACGAATATTCGATATGCCACAATTATGGCTGAGAATATCAAGGTGACTAGGAGTCTATGCGGGGCGAGGCGCATAGACAAACTTATTGACCTTGGTGTGAGCCAACCCAGCTGAATACTTATATCCATACATACAAGTTGTAGCCCTGCACCGGCTGTCACTGGGCGCTTGGTAAGGTTTCTACATGTAGGTCATGGATGCCTCTAGGTGTCGCCTCGGCGCGCCCGCGAAGGGACGGGTGGAGGAAACCGAGAAGTGAAAGGAGGGGAGGGAAGAGGGAGTTGATTTCCAGCTATATTCCCACCGCGGTGAGAACATTGAAACTTGAGATAGGAAACGGAGGAAGAATCGAGGGAAGAAAAAAACCAATTAACAAGGGAAACAGAAAACGCCTCCCCATAGAAAAACCAAAAATTACGCCAAAATGATTTCTTTTCTCGGACTCGTTAATCCATCCTGCCTCCCCTTTTCCGTCTCTTCCTTCCAGGATGAGAATAAACTGTACATCCGATCCGTTACCATTCCAAAACCGCTTCCGCTAGAGGCTTATCCTGTTGTCTCATCCCTTTTAAGTCCTTTGGTCCGTAGCCCATGATGCTGTTCTCAATCCCCTTTCCTCCTCAACCCGCTGCCAACTCGTTTCTTCGCCCCAGCACCTCCCGCCGCTCCTTTCATTTGGTTCTCTTTTCGTCCTTGCGACCCCGTTCCGGCGGCCAAGTGTTGTTTTTCTTATCTTTCCTAAAGATTGCCAAGGGAGGGTTAAGAGAGAAGATAGGAAGGGGGGAAAGGGTGGCGAGACTTCAAGTTTTTGTCGGTGGCTGGAAGGAGGGGAGCCAAAACGGCCGAGACATGGAGATGCAACACTAGGACTTAAAAACAAAGGTGGGGAGCAAGAATGAAAAAGAAAAAAAAAAAAAAAATAGAAAGAAGAAGGATGAAGTGAGAGGCCAGAGGGGGAAAAGAAAATAAGGAGGGGAAGAGGTTGGTCAAAGGGCACCGATAGTCAAACAGCTTTCTTGTTCTCAAGGCCCCTTGACTTATCAACAAGGGAATCAAGGATATCCGTCTGTGCTCCCCTCTGGATTTTTTCCCTCCTTGTCCTTTCCGAGGTTTTTGTTTTCCCACTATCGCTCCTCGTTTACGTCTTCTTCTTCTTCTTCTTCGGCTTCTCGTCTTCGTCGCCGCCATCATCGTCATCGTCCACCTCCATCTCATCATCGACGTCGCTCTCGGCGCCGCCGCCGCTACCGCTCTCCTCGCCCGAGCTCTCGTGATTACTGTCGTACTCTTCGGCGACGTCGCTCTCGCTCTCGGCGCGGAAGTCCTCGTCGACGCTCTCCTCGTCTTCGTCGGCGGAGCCGCGGTCGGCTTTGGGACCAACGACTTCGTCGTCCGAGGACAAGAGCTCTTCGCCGCGGAGGGTGGCGGCGAGAAGTTTGGCGTCCTCGTCGATCTCGTTCTTGACGCGGATGCCCTTGATGCGGAAGAACTCCTCGAGCCCCTTGAGGTCCTCCCTGTTGATGTTGGAGAACTGGGAGGAGCCCGCGCCGTTCTTGAGCTGCACGGTGATGTCAAAGGTGGAGAGGGCGGCGACGGCGCCGGTAACACGGGAAAAGGTGACGGACTGCGTCTGCTCGTAGGCGATGTATGTGGCGGGCTTGGGGACGAACATGAAGGACTTTTCCAGGCAGTAGAGGAAACCCTCGCTGGCCTTGATGGAACATTTGATGCCGAATTGCTGGCGGTGGCTGTCCGTACGCGAGCGTGATTAGCTAGGGCTCGGCTATGATGTCTCCGAGGCCTCGGAAAGAGGGAAAAAGGGGGGTACGTACGTTTGGAAGTCCTTGGCGGGGTGCTAATCTTCTTGTTGGCGAGCCCCTAAAGATAAAGGTGACGACTTCGTGTAGGGGCTGCTCGTAGTGAGCCTGGAGCTTGTCCTGGTACTTGCCGCTGAGCTCTTCCTCGGGCAGGTTTAGGTCGATAGTGACCTCATCGTCCTTCTTAAACTGCATAACGATGAAGGGGTATCGAGTTTGACCTTGCCGGAGGGGAGGATCTAGGCCAACGCAGAGCATGTAATGCATGTCGTCGGGCTTGGGAAGAACCATGAATTTCTTGATGGCTTCGTATTGAATCTTGTAGTCGTACGTCTTGCCGCGCATCCTGAAGGAGCTTTCGTACATGTCGATATCGAAACGACCTCTGTAATGAAGAGAGAAAAAAAGAGAGCCAGTTAGAATAAGGGGAATTCCTTTCCGCCATCTCACTAGACACGCTCCCATCGGAAGGGGAGGAGGAGAGGCACGCAAGATGGAATATGGTGGGGCCGCAAACAAACGAACCTGGGAGTAAGATGGAGAACGTCCAAAAATGTGGCAATTGTATCGCCCGCCGTCTCGCCAATCTGGGCCTTCTCGATGAGCGTCTCGTAAAGAGGGTCGCAGCGTTCTTCTCCTCCTCATCGGCGCTGCCCGCATCCTCACCCTCGGCCTCCTTGCGAGTCGTGGTACCGGGGACGTAGAACCTCATCTCGACGAGCTGGTCATCGCCAGCCGACACCTTCTTGCCCTTGCCGCCGGCGGGCACGACCTCGCCATCGGCCGGCAGGGCGAACTCGATGGAAATCTCGTTGCGGCCGGCAAGGTTGGTGTTGGAGATCTCGGAGTAGGGGAGCTCAAAGGCGGGGCGGTTCTGGACGTTGAAGGCCAGCTCGGCCTTTGTGAACTCGGCCTTGCCCCAGTTCCAGCCACGGAGGGCGCGCTCCTTGTTCTCGAGGTTGGCGCTGTACCAGTTCTTGAAGATCTTGGCCAGGCGCTCGTGGTCGTCGTGCTGGAAGCCGTCGAGCTGGATCACGCGCGAGGTGCGGTCGAGGATCTTGAGCTCGTAGCCGCGGGCGGCCCGGCTCCACTGCGCGCTGCCAATCTGCGTGCCGTCGAGCGTAAATGTGTCGCCGCCGCCCGAGGGCTTCCATCCGAAGCCGTCCTTGGCGAACCTGCACTTGCCATCCTCTTTCGAGAGGTCGAGGTAAATCTTGTCGAAGCTCTCGCTGGGGGAGAGGGGGGCGAACGAGAAGAAACAGAGCCCAATGGTTAGCATAGAAGACGAAAAAGGTATGCTGGCAGCTAATGCCTGCGCGTGTGGTGGAAGAATGGGTGGGTGAGGGTGGGAAGGGGGGAGGCAGCACGACGAGGTGCGCATTGAGGGGTCTAGTGGCGGGGGTTGCGCTCCAAGGAAAAGAGAAGATGAGAGAGAGAAAATGGGCTTATGATGGTTATGCGCGCAAGCTGAAAGGAACCTTCAAGCTGGTTGCAATTGGGGGTGGGCAAATACTCACATCGACATGGCTGGAAACTTTGGGATTGAAAGCTCGAGTGTGTTAAATCGATGCTCCCGTCCCAGAAAGAAAAGAGAGGAAGAAGTGGCGGTAAGAAGGGGGAGGGGAGGGGAGGTAAAAGCTGCAACAAATTATGAAAAGTAGTAGGGCCAGTACAGAATAGAAAAATTGCAGCTTAATGAAAAATAAAGACTTTTGTCGTCTACCCGTCGTTGTGCAACAAAAGGAATAGAGGCTCCTAGTGGGGTTGGAGAGGCGAGGTTGGGTTCACTTGAGATATGAAGGGCAGGCTGAAGGTGAGGTCGGCAAGGCAAATGCAGTGCCTGGGCCATTAAAATTTCGCGACTAGCTCCCCGCGCGACGTGCCAATCCCGCGTTCATAAGCGGGCATTTTAGCTTGCATAAAAAGGAAATCGGAACATGCATAAAACCCGTGCGCCACAGGTGTGGCTTGACCTCTCTCTGCTTCAAAGAACATTGAACTGTGTGGCTTGTTCCTGAGGCTCTTTGGGGGTCCTTGAACGTTCGTTGGGACATGCAAGTAATATTCCTATCCAACAGCCCAGGATGATGATGTACAAGTAAAGAGGACCAATGACCCCAAAAGACGGTTCCGTCATCAGCACTCTGGAAACCACAGCCGGACCACTCAATCCGTCTCGTGCTCCAACCCAGCCTCTTTCGCCCTCTTATCCGCCACCTCACACAAATACTCATACTCCTCCTTGCTGACCTTGCTCACGCTAAGGCGCGACTGCTTCAGCATCTGCATGCTCTCCAGGGGCTTCCCGCCTCGCCCATCTCCCGCAGCTCCTTGAGCGTCAGGGGCACCGCGAATTTCTTCACGAACTGAACGTGCACGAGTCCCCATCGGTTCTTCTCCTTGGTGGCCGTCGCGTCGTAGTAAGGGGTTCCTGGTCGGCGCGCGCCCTCTGGGTTTTTGTCAAGTTGGTTAGCTGGGGCTGGAAAACGGAGGCGGGAGCAAAAAAGGTCACACCGATATAGAGAGATATATATGGGGGGGTCTATAGAAACGACTTACTGTCTTCTGAGTACTCCTTGACAATCTCCATGATGCCCGCGATGCCCGGCTCCTTGCAGTTTGAGTGGTAGAAAAAGGCCTTGTCGCCTGCGTTCATAGCCTTCATGTTATTCCGAGCTGTTTTCCATCGTCAGCACAACTCGCTCACGCTCAATGCGATACTACCACCGCGTGCCCCCTTTCAAGCCCAAACCTCCAAGTGGAAGAGGAAAGGAAGAAAGAAAAGGTAGCTGCGTAGGTGATTATTTGACATGAAGATGTTCTTACCAACGTAGTTGCGGATACCTAATGCCCGGCCGGTCAAGTTAGTCCATTAGCCCGATGCTAGCAATGCGAGAACGTAGAAGAAGAAGAAAAAAAAGCTTACCATCCCACGGCTCAGGCTTATCCCTCGCCCGCAAATCATCAATCGAAAACCTCACATCTATCCCATTCTCGAACCTCGACTCCGGCTCCGCCTTCATCAGCCAATACCACTCCCCTTCGTGGTGCTCCACCTCGGGGTTCTTCGCCGGCAACGTATCCGGATCCGGATCCTCCGATACCCCCGGCCACCACCCGTGGCCTTCTTCCCGCCGTCTGTACCACCGTCGTCAGCCGTCTTGCCCTTCTTCTCCTTTGTCATCTTGTCCCCTCCCTTCTTCTTCTTCGCCCCGTCCGCATCGCCAGACTCTTCCACAGCCACGGCGACCTTCTTCTTCTCCTTCTTCTTCTTCTCCACGTGTTCTTCACGCGCCGGCACCTTGTCCTCTTCCTCCTCATCATCCTCTACCTTGGACCGCGGCGCCTTCTTCCCCGATCCCCGCCCCTTAGCCGACGCCGCAGCTCCTCCCACCTTTGCATTCTTCTTGGGCGCCGCCGCAGGCTCAGGAGCCGCGACTGTCTGTTGCTGAGCCTGGCGCGCCGAGCGACGCTTTGCGACGGGCGCCGCGGACTCGGTGTCAGCTTGCCTCTTTCGCGGTGGCATTGTTTTTTTCTTTGTTTCTCTGTAAGGAAAATAAAAAAGGGTCCTTTTTCCTTCTTCTTCTTCTTTTTTTCCTCTTCTTCTTGTGCACTTTGTTATCGTAAGTTGGCGCGCTTAAGAACTTGGTGCGCGTGGGTAATGTCGTGTCTTTCTATCTTTTCGCGGTCGAAGCTCTCTCAATGCTCTCTCTTGGTCCCTTGACTTGAGTCGAGGTCAAATTAGGGGCGTGCGCACACGCGGGAAGTGGGCGGGTGTGGGATTAGCCCAGCACCACCGACGGCAACGGCCCCAAAGTTTTTTTCTCCGCTCATCCATTGATTGTGGATGGTTGTGTCTTCCCACATGGCCTGTAGTTTGAGACCTGACAAATGTCCGTGGAACTCTCGACATTAAAAGCCTTCAACTCAGATGGCAGAACAGCGTGAATATCTTTCCCGAGGTATATATATATATATATGTGTATTGCGCAGAGAAAAGACCCCGTTCGGCTCCTTCGTTTTTCTCTTCTTTGCTTAATTCATCAAAATCGTCAGTTTTCTTCTTCTTTCTGTAATACCCTTCCCATCTATGGCCAACGACCTCTAAACCGAAAACGCAAGGCGCAATATCGTATCCGTGGCATGAAAAAAATAAAGCATTACAAGAAGGATAAAAAGAGGCCGAGAAAAGAAAAGAACAAGAGATCCGTTTATGGTTCATTCCCTTTTTTATCTTCCTCATTTCCCCTCTTTTCCCATTCACAACCGCCCCCGCCCCCTCCTCCTCCCCCAAACCTCTAGTTCTTCAAAATGGCAACGAGCTCCTTGATAATAGCGTCACCCATTTCCTTGGTCCCGACCTCTCCACCCAAGTCCTTGGTCCTCGCGCCCCCGTCAATGGCCTTCTTCACCGCAGCCTCGACCGCATCAGCCTCCTTGCCGAGGTTGAGCGAGTAGCGCAGAAGCATAGCAACGGACAGAATGGTGCCCACGGGGTTGACGACGCCCTTGCCCGAGATGTCGGGGGCAGAGCCGTGAATGGGCTCGTAGATGCCGTTGCACTTGGACTTGCCGTCGGGGATCCCGCTCAAGCTCGCGCTAGGCAAGAGGCCGATGCTGCCGGGAATCACGCTCGCCTCGTCGCTAATGATGTCGCCAAAGAGGTTGCTCGTCACGACCACGCCGTTGAGCCCGCGCGGGTTCTTGACCAGGATCATGGCCGCGCTGTCGATGAGCTGGTGCTGCAGCGAGAGCTGGGGAACTCCTTGGCAAAGAGCTCCGTCATCACCCGCCTCCATAGCCGGCTCGTCGCCAGCACGTTGGCCTTGTCCAAGCTCCACACCGTGCTGTCTCCGCGCTTGAGCGCCAGGAACCCCGCCAGCCGGCCCACGCGCTCAATCTCCTCGCGCGAGTAGGGCTCCGTGTCCCACGCCTTGCCGTCGCCCTCATCCTCCTTGCGTTCGCCAAAGTAGATGCCGCCCGTGAGCTCGCGCACAATGACAAAGTCGGTGCCTCGGCACACCTCGGCCTTGAGCGGCGACGCGTCCACCAGCGAGTCGGACGCGAAGGAACAGGGCCGGAGGTTACCGTAGGTGCCCATCTCCTTGCGGATGCGGAGGATACCCTGCTCGGGTCGGACGGTGCCGGTGCCCCATTCCGGGCCGCCGATGGCACCGAGGAGGACGGCGTCGGCGTTCTTGGCCGCTTCGAGGGCCTCGTCGGTGAGAGGGTGCCGTGGGCATTGATGGAGCACTAGACGAGATGGGAGACTGGGATTAGTGTGCGAAGAAAAAAAAAGAATAGATAGGGTAGTAAAAGGGTAGAGATGAGAGTAGCTGAGGGGAGAAGGAGAAGAGAAGACATACGCCACCCATCAGGTGCTCCTGGATGTTGAAGGTACCAGTAGAGGGGCTGTTCTCCTCAATGGCCTTGAGAACCTATTTCCCATCCCGTTAGCCAATGTCGCAAGTAATAATAATTTTGCTTTCCGTTCTTTCGTATGTTTGCAATATCGCGCAAACCAAGGCCCGTCTTCGTCTTCGGCTCGATCAAGCGTCGGGAGGTGGGGGAGTGGGAACGGGCACACACACCTTGATACCCTCGGCAACAACCTAAAATGACAGCGAATCCCAGTTAGCTTTCCACTCTCTCTCTCTCTCTCTCTCTCTCTCTCTTTGTGTGTCACCGACCGTCTCTCTAATTCAACCCAGGGCTTCTTGCTCCCGAGAAACACGAGAACAAGGGGAACGTGGAAAAAAGAAGACATACCTCTGGACCGCAATGGTCACCCCCGAAAACGACAATGTTGTACTGCGCCATGATTTCTTCTCTCAAACGACCTGGTATATTTTCCTTTTGATCTTTTGTCCGGGATGGGAAGAAAAAGAAAGTTGGAAAGAAAAAAAAAAGGGGAAAAGAAAAGAAAGTTGAGCGCTCCGGACCGGAAAAGGTTGGTGGGGTAATAATTCAGAGAAGCTTCGGAAGACTGGAAAAAAAGGTGGGGTGATGCAGCTCTGGTGTGTCCACGCTCTCTGTTTGTCCCTATCTTCTTTTGATGTCAGGTAATCGGGACTTGCTCTCTTTATACATCTTTTTCTTTTTCTCCCCACGCCTTGAGCGGAACTAGGAGATGAGAAAAGAGAAAGAGAATAAACCGTTGCGCAAGAGGATATCGAGAGTCCAAGTAAAGCAAGAGAACCAAAGAGCGCAAGTCGACCAGCTCCAGAAAGGATGGCTTTCCCAAAAGGAACAGTTCCGCGTCCCTCCCCTAGAAATAAAAAGACCACCACCCAAGACCAAAAGACCTCCCCATTTCCAATTCCTCGCCCCTCATTCCTCCGCTCATCTTTAGAAGGGCGGGGGGGCCTCTTCTCCGGGGAACTTCTAGCGGCCCTCTATTCACAGTCCCCATGGCTTTTCGTCCAGAGGAGGGAAACCCACCCCGCCGTCTCCGAGATCGGCAAGGTGGGGTCCCTAGAACGAAGGAAAAAAGCCCGCGCTCCATCATGAATAATACTCTCTCCGAGGTTGGTCTCCATCCCCACCCACATGCTCTTTCAAAGTACTAAAGGCTTCCGTAAGGAAATGATGTGTACGATAGTGTCAAGATGAAGAGTGAGTTGCCTTGCGGTGTTGTGTCAGTGCACCCCCAAATGCGACCCACCTCCTTGGCCAGGAAGCAGCCCGGAAGAGGGGGATGGTAGCTACGGGGTAGCTCGGGTATCCCCAATCAAAGGGAACCCGAATCCGATCCGACATGCGGTGTCGCTTTCCGCCGATCTCCTAGGGCCGAGGCCGTATTAGTTAAACATAGGACGAAGCCGCCCCGTTTTCGGGCCATCTTAGGAGCGAGCATTCTTGCTACCACTGTTGATCAGCAGGCACACACATCTAGGCGCAGGAGACCCCATGTTAAGTTTGACACGCCGGACCGTTCTCGTCCATCGCTGACATCTCAAGGAAATAAATGATATCAAATGAACAGGGGAGAAGCTGGTTTACAGTAGCCATTGCTCTAAATGCACATTATAGAAGTGATTGGACGCTTTGTGCGCTGCACATATAGATATAGAGATATATATAATATATATTCTTTGATATGATCAATCAATTAGGATATCCGTCTCATCATTACACATTGCGAGGTTAGACCCGAGAGATACAAGGAGAACGACAGAAAGTAAAGAAACAATGAAGGCGAGATTTGAGCCAAGATTTCCTTCGAGAACACTGCATGCGCACGACGTGTTTACGTTGTTCACGCTTGAGCCTAACTCGGCGCCGTAACCGCGAGGTACGCGGGTGAGAGAGAGAGAGAGAGAGAGAGAGTGTGTGTGTGTGCGTGTGTGTATGGCGATGTAGGCGTGTGAGTGAGTAGATGAAGAGGACCCGTGGCTGCGAGCGCTCCTTGACTGGGTATGACCAAGGAGCCAAGACTGGCGTGAGAGGTCGCGAGTGCATGGAGGAATGTGGTGTGACTGAATGTGTGTAAGCCCACGAGTGACGACGCTTGTGCATGCTCCATGTTCCACAATGCATGACATGAGAGAGCAAAAGAAAAAGAACACAGATGGTCATGGGCAGAGGAAACCTCCTTCTCCCCCAAAGCCTCTTCGAGTTCTCTCCGGTTCCGAGAGGAAACGAAGGAAAACAAAAAAAAAACGCCGGCAAAAGGCAACAACAAAACATGAGGTGCTGTGCCCTCTCATCGAGTTCGCCCCTACATCCATGCTTGCGCATATGCTTTCAAGAGGCTGAATGCTCTTGGTTGGTTTTCCATCTTTCCCATAAGAAATTGTTTAAAGATTGCTGGCTCGTCTTGATTCGTTTCATTCCCACCCTTCAGCTTGGAAGGGTGATTGATTCCTTGTTCCTTCATTGTGTCATGTCGCATCCTTTTTCTTGTTCGTCAGGGGTTTCCCCTTTTGTCATTCGCCCTTCGTGTTCGCCTGTTCCTAGCAGACTACCTTCAAGTGCCTTGCCCGCGACAACACAAGGCCGCGTTTTTTCTTTTTCTTCTTTGGCAGAGCGTCGAAAGATAGCCGGCTACATTACCGGAATGACTTGAACGACTTGTGCGCCAACGGTGACGTACCGTGGCCGTGGCCGTGTCCATGGCCGTGACTGGACGACGCCATTCCGCTCCCCATCGCGACGCTGCTGCTTCCAGCCCTCCCCGTGTCGCGGAGTCTACCTCCTCTCATATTGGGCGTGTTGGCGCAAAACGCACAGATGTACACTGGCGGCATCTCTCGGCGAGTAATCTTGGTGCACCTGCCATGGAGCCACATCTCACAAGCTTCGCTAATTCACCCGAAAAAGACATACGGTTAGTCAAAGAAAAGGGGAAAAAGGTCCGAGGTTGGGCAGCCGACTCACCATTGTACCATGAAAGTGTCCGCCGCGGAGCCCTGATCATTCCGATGGCATATGCACCGAATGTTGAGGCGTCTACCTCCCGTCAGCGGTGTGGGGATGGCGTCCGTGATGTGGGTTGGCGATACCACGCTCGCACCGCCCCATTCAAACGTCCCGTTGGCTGAAGACGAGCCCATCCTCTGTGCCCTCTGACTCGCCACCCTCTTGTTCTGCCTGTCCTCCACCATCTTCCTCAACTCGCTCGCGGCATCTCCCGCGCTCCCTTCGCGATCTGACCGCGAGTCAACTACTGTCTCCGCCTCGCTCTCGTCGCCTGGAGACAGGCCGCGACCGTTGAACGAGAAACTCGCGCGCACTTGGGGGTTCTTCTTTTTCCTCCCACTGGCCCCGCTAGAGAATATAGAGCCCACGGGTTTCCGGGGATCCGGAAGAGCAAACGAAGAGTTGCGGCTTGAATGATAATGGGCTCGTCGTCGGTATCAGAGTCATCCGAGCCCGAGGACCCGAGAACGGCAGGGGCCCGTCTTCCGCTGCTGCCGGAATCGCGCGATGCCCTTCGCATGGGGGACGATTCTTCAGCAACGGTCGTAGTTTCGGCGTGCGCTCGCCCCCGGGCATCAATGGTGAACTTGACTGATGTGCGAGTGCGAGGACCGTTGGATTCTGGAATCGACGAGAGGCTGGTGAGTCGGTGATGTAGCTTGAGGGGGAAATCCGACCCGACCGGCCCGAGCTTGATGGACGGCCTGACGCAGCACCTGAGCCGCCTCCTTGTGATGCCTGGCGGGTAGCCGCCGGCGCCAACGGAGGAAGCTGCCTCTTGCCCCTGCTTTCGCTAAAGCTACGCTGGAGGCCGTTTCTCGGGTGGGTGTTTTTGATAGGTGAGCTAGCAGGCTCCCTCCTGCCACGCCTCGTCGGCTCTTTGTAGCTGAATGATCTTCTCAAGGGATCGGCGGAACTCGGCGCTACAGGTGCGGGTTCGGCTAGTCTCGGCGGGGTCAGCGTGGCCGGCTTGGTTGAAGCTTACGTCCATGCCCGACGAGGGAGGGCGGCTAAATAAGAGGCCTGGGTCCACACCACCGCTGGGGCTCAGGGTGAAGGCGGCGTCACTGCCGGCCAGGTAAGGGCCCGCTAAGTCGCCCGAGACTGGTATCTCAGCGCTGGGTCTGCTCGGCTTGGGGCCAAGGGCCTTCCCTTCTTGGCTGGAGGATGGAGGCTCTCCTGGTTAACGGACTGGGGTACTCCGTTTGCGGCTACGTTGTTGGCCATGGCAGTCACGGTAGGATCCTGGAACAAGGCAGGGTTGGAATTCCAGTCAAAGAGTCGATTCCGCGATGGGTCTGCGCGGGCGGCTGAAAGAGGATCCCAGACGCTGCGGCTTGCGCAAAATCCAAGTCCATGGCCGTCATAGATACTGAAGGATCCCAGTACGAAGCAGGTGCGGCGCCCGCGGACAGTGGGTAACCGAAGACATCGTGGCCGGAGGCGGCGAAGGCTGCCGTTAGGTCACCAGAGTGCTGCTGGTGGGGAGTGGCCGTCGCGCCGAGGAAGTCTGGATGGCCGAAGCCCTGGTCATCCTGCATAGTGGTTGCCGTGGGGCCTGATGGAGGTTTCCGGTCCCCTTGCTTGCCGACGGCGGAGGTGTTGCGATCTGCGTAGGTCGCGGGTGCTGTGCTTGCTTGCTTGGGTGTTGAGGGGCCGAGTTTGGGCCGTTGGTCGCAGTCGCAGACCCCGTGCGTAGCCTTTGCGGGCTCGTTCCTGAAAACTTTTATCGTCGGCGTCGTTGTCGTTTGCCTCGGGCGACCACTCGCGAGAGATGTTGCTTAGAGGAAGCGGCGACGAAGACAACCGGAAAGAGGGGTCGACGGTGGGCAGGTTCGGGTTGGGAGAAAAATGCGTAGCATGGGACGCGATGCGTGCGGCGATATCGCCCGCGGAGAGCGGGCGGTTTAGGAGTATCGAGGGGATTCGACGGCGAGCTGGAGGCCTGGCGATAAGCCCGGTTGGGTGGGAGTGGGCGTGGGCAGTCGGGGTAGTGCTGGGGTTGGAGCCGGCGCTGCTGGCGCTGCTGCTTATGCTAAGGGTGCGGCCGGCAGTGCTAACCGGTGTGTAGGCGGTGAAGTGACGGTGACTTTCGGCGGCGTGGACCGGGGCGGTGGAGCTAAATGGCGAAATATCGTTGCCGGGGCCAGATGTCCAGGATGAGGATGAGTGCCGTGATGTTCCTCCGTCCTCAAAAGGTGTCTTCTGGAAGAGTTGGGGAGTTTCGAAATCGGGGCTGGGGAAGGCGACACAAGTAGGTGTTTGTCGAGGTGTGGGCGGTTGAGCGTTTGGATCTCCAAAGCTGAAGAGGGGGACCAAGCGTTAGCAGAGCGGGATTTCCTTCAGCGAAAAAAGAGACAAAGTGGTCTCTCCAGGGTAATCTAGGAAGAGTCGGCCTTCTTTTCTTTTTTTTTTTCTTTTTTGTTTTGCTAGACACTCCCTTCTCTCAATCCCTTTCTCAGTTGCATTCACTGTTCAAGGGGTGAGAGGGGAATCTTTGCGAAACAAGAATATAAAAAAATAGAAGGATAGAATCAATGGATAGACGAGAGTGGAGGGAAGCGGAGACCATGGTACATTGGGATGCTGCAGATAAGCCGGGCTTAATTGGCTTGTGTTGGAGGGTAGGAGTGGAGGTGGGAGGTTTGGTACCCGTCGCTCCTGCGGCTTGACCGCACTGGTACAAGTACAACGCACCTGAAGCAAATGGACTGGACCAGAGCGCACAGGGACCAAACCAGAACCAACTGGATTTGACGCAGCAGGCACACGACCGGGAGTGGTAGGGATTGGCAGGTCTCCCACAGGAAGGAGCACTCGGGACTTCTAGGCAACCTTGCTCAAAGGCTGAATTACGGCGCCGGCACCAAAAATGGAATGGGCACTAGACTCCCAGATCCAAAGGGGAAAGAATAATGATCGAGGGCAACAATCCAAATCCGAGCGTAAAGGCAACCGAATCGGCACCAGCCTCATGAATCAAGAACAGGTGAATGTCCGGAGATGACGATGGGGCGCGGGCAATGAATCGAGACAAGGTGGAAAGAGGGGAAGGAAAAAGGAACGAGGAAAATAATTCAAGATCTCAAAGGATAGAGAGAAGGAGTGAGGAGGCATGGCAGAGGAAGGGAAGGAAAGAAAAAGAAAAAAGGAAATGGGATATCTAACCTGGTCGCCGCCAATTGATCCCCACTCATAGCAAATCTGATTGTGGATTATTCTCATAACCTTTTTTCTCTCTTTGGGTGAACACCCTAACACCGAATCCGGAACGGACAATATACCCACGAACCACACCTCTTTGGGGTGTTTTTCTTTTTCTGCAAAAGAGGAGATGGTTTCTGATATATCAAACAGACGATGGGTAGGAATACAAAAAACGCCGTCGTAAGGGGAACAAGGGCTTCGATATCGAGTCGTCGTTCAAAACTGCTATTCTTGTCGTTGTTTTTGTTTTGCTCTTTCCCTTTTCTGCTGCTATATCGATGTCGCTATTCGTTCGTTCGTCCCGTGTGTGGTGCGGTTCTTCCTCGAGCTGGAGAGGTGCCGGTCGACCGTTCCGTCTAGTCTTTTACCCTTTTCTCGAGTGATATATATTGTCCCTTTTCTCTTTTCCCTCTCCCTAACCAAATCGCGGGGGCAACCGTACGGGAGGGGAAGAAGAAAAAACTAAGAGTTTGCTCCTCCGGGTGGGGAAAATGGGCAAATGCGGTCGGAAACGTGTGGAGACGAGGTGGGAATGGCGAGTCAAGTTATCTACCTGTGGTCGATTTCAGGTTTGTCGTGTAGTCATGGAGCCTTTACTTCTTGTCCTCGTTTAAATTGCTGGATCTTGGGTCGCCGGTGAGGCTGTTCGTGGGTCCTTTGCAGGTATATCTGTCTGTTGTCGTATTATAGAAGCATTACAAGACGTCGTGGGTCATAAAAAAGAGCGTAGTGTCGAGTGCAATATAAAGAAAGGAAGATAGGTTTAACAAAAAAATGAGTGTGTAAGATGCTTCGAGATTAGATTAAGAATGTAGGTCGTTGGCCAAGAGAAAGAAGAAATGGGCAACGAGTAAAAGAGATAGAGAGTGAGAGAAAGAGACGGATAGGAAAGAAGTGAAAACGAATGTCAAGTATTAAGTGCTAAAAAGATGCAATTCGATTATAACGAGCGAAGAGAAACAATGAATTTCGTTAGTGAGCGTTTGATCTGAGGGATGACCCAGGCGTAAGGAAGGACGAGGTTGGAAAAAGAGACCATCAGAGACCTCGCGGGTCTAGATGAGAAGGGTGTCCATTGAGTTTTGTCTCTCCTTCTCCTGTCAAAGAGGTCCCAGACTCGAGCCTCTCCTTGGAGGGGACGGGGCAGCTCGGTCGTTTTTTTTTCTTGGGTTGGTTTGGTTGGGGGTGGGGGTGGTTCACGCAAAAGCACACAGGACCAGGGGTACCGCTTAAGAGACTCCATCTCAAGGACTAAGACAATAGCCTCAGGGGAGAGAGAGAAATGTAGCTTTCCAGGGGAGCGAACACAAACGCTGTCAAGCTACCCACTGCCTCAGCCTCTATTCCCACGATCGACAGGTACCTCCCTCGATGGCTGCCAGAGAGCCGAAGAAGCCGTCCGAAAGTGTACATTCAGGTCGAGGAGGAAAGGGGGCCACAAGCTCTGAAGGCGGGGATTAACTCGGGAATGCATTCAAGGGCCTTTCCCTGGCAAAGGGACGTTAGGGGGAGCATAAATCTCCAAACTACGGAAAATACGGCGCTACCACAAAACTAAAAGACGGTGCCAGGGATCTAGGGCTGGTGATAGCCAAGCAGTCAAGGCGGGAGGATCGCGCAAATCCAGGTGTAGAGCACATACGAAGAAATAGAGCATCGATGGCGGGTTTTTGTGGCCATTGGCCGTTCAAGAGGAGGGAAAGGAAAATTGGGGGCGAACACAGCTTGTGGAGCAAAGGTAAGCTCGCCAACCAATTCAATAGGAGGGGCAAAGGGGGCGAGAGAGCAATAGTAAGGAGAAGAGGAGGAAAAAAGGAAGGAAAGGCACGAAACAAAGCGGCGGGTACCTGACCCGATCCCGATGGAGCATATGCAACGACAAGGCTCGTTGACCGCCGTCCTGTGCCTGTGCCTGTGCCTGTGCCTGTCCCCACCAAAAATCGAGCTCTCTCCTGCATCTCCAGGGAGGGAAGGTAAGCCCATTGAAAATGTTACCACATGCGGAATGCTTACAGCAGGAGCCATTCATGTAGTGATCTACCAACCGAACGTGGGATCGAGGGGATGGTGGGATGAATGTCGCCTCGTCATCAAGTAAAAACATCAATGCTCGAGTCTTTTGCCCGCAAAAGCCATTGATTGGGCTCATGCCAATTATAGGCTCAATTCATAGAAAAGGAGACGCTGAAGCTGGCGCAGAAAATGGTGGTAGTGGGATGGGGCTGGCAACGAGAGGCTCTTCGAGCTGAGCCAATCGCCGGCCACGGATACGAACCACTAAAAACGGAGCACCGAGAATAGCGAGACGCCTCGAGCCGTTTTAGCGGAGATGTCGTGTTCACCCTTTTAGTGTGGAGGACGGCGCCGTCGCCGTCCCAGTGGGCGCCAACCAGGCGGCCGGACCAGGCAAGAAGCGGCTTGGTTTGCCCCCTCCCCTATCTCGAGGAGTCCACTGGAGGGGGAATCTCGAGCTCGGAGCAGTTCACAAGAAAGCACGAGATGGAGGCTATGTGGAATGTCGATCCGAGCCAAGGAGGCCGGCCCTGCCAATACCTTGATTTTCTTGGGCAATAGGAGGCCAAACTGGAGGGGGTCGGGGGCAAACTGGAGACTAGAGAAGCCAGCCATGAAGAAGAAGCACGGCTGATCGTGCGCCACTGAAAAGCACTTCAGGGCCTCGCTCGATTGTTTGGCCCCAAGGGCCCTTCCCGCCTATGAGGTGAGACCCATCCAAAGAAGCAAAGGGCGGCGATGGCAGGGAGTGGCCGTGGCCCTTGCTTCCAGAGGCTTGGTGGACGAAAACGATGAGTTGGCCCAAACTCTAATCGGCGTACCTGAAGCCAAGGGCTCTTCTCCTTCCGTTGTGAATGTGAAGGCTGGGGAAAGCGAACTAGATCCATGGGTGGCTCGATCAATGCCGCTTGGGTTGCCCCCTTGGCGCCCTTTTCCCAACCAGTGGTCCGTCTGAAGTACCGCCCCCAGCCCATCGCGCGTGCTCATCAAGGAAAAAGAAATAGCTTCAGGGATAATAGCGAGGTCTCTGAGAGGGAGAAAGCCGCCTTGCCATCTTATTGATGGATAGCGTGCAACCGATATCCTGCAAGCTGCACGCACAGTGGGGTAGCTGACCTTTGGGCAACAAGCCACTCAAGACCGAGTGATCGCCAAAAGGTTCAAAGTTTGATTGAATTGGCTTAGATGGAGACCGTGGACGTCCTCGATCAACATGATCCAGTCCCCTGGATTGTCGCTTCCTTTCGGCTCGCGAGGCAGGCCCGTAGCCAAGGCATAACGAAACCCGAGCCCACGAAAAGCGGGCCAGAGAAACAGACTTCAATCGAGGAGATCCTCTCCCAAGAACAATTGTGGAGTTGATCAGCAAATTCAATGGATCTATTCTTCTTGACCCATAGATATTCTCTCTGGGTTTACTATAACCACCTGGAAACCAAGAAAAAAATCCCTCCGTTCCCGAGATTCATCCACCATGTAAAACCCCATCAATGAACCTACAGCAAATCTGGTCCATCTTCAGGTCAAGCGCCCAGACACTGTCCCGGCCTATCACCGCAGGCTCGCCGAATACCAAGAGTAAGCAGCCGGTGGTCGCCACCAAATTGGAAATGGGCCAGGCCTTAACTCTTCTAGGTAGGGATCGGGGATTAATAGAGCCAGTGCGAAAGGGCAAAGAGCTAGCCATGGCCCGCATAAGCGGCACTCCTACGAGGGGGTTCTGGTTCTCGTTCCCTCAACCGGTCCGCTTCTGCGTTTCACGCTCCCTAGCCCAATGGTGCTTTTCCCTCTGAGTGGCCCTTTCTTCGTGCAAACTCTAGTCCATCAATCCTCCGGCCCTTTCCTAGCGGAGAGCACGGCCAGCTCGCGTACCGGATCAAGGCAAAGCAGTATTGTTGAAAACGACGCAGAGACCCAAGGTCTGTCTGTCCCTGCTCGCATCAGCATTGGATACACGGGAAGTAAAACCATCCCTTGGCCAGCTCCGACGAGCTCTATTCCAGGACACGTTCTATAGAGCCGCTCGCTGTAAAATGCAGTGTTCACCAATTGGACGATGAACCGAAGGTGTATTATTCTCAACTTAGCACAGGCCTTCTGGAAGCTGCAAGGGTATAGACAAGCCACAAAGTCAACCCACAGCTTAAATGCAGGCTGCAGTATCAATCTCCACGTGAAAACTGGCCTTTTCGACCGACCCAGGAGAGAGATACTCCAGGTGTTCTCATGGTCATGACTCTACAAAGCAATGGAAGGGGAGACCGTCCACGAGGATGGCCGCCTTTCGGGCCTGGGTTCGACAAGGGGATCCTGGAGGCATTATTATGAAACTATCCGATCATGACTTCTGTGCCGAATGTTCCAAGGATGTTCGCTGCACGAACCAATTCAATTTGTGGTTAGTTTAATGCTTGATAGCTTAATCATCACTATCAAAATCGATAAAGGCATTATCACAAGCTAAACATAAAATAATGTCTGGCGCTAGTGCCAGTGCCAGGTACAATGAGCCCCCATGTCTCTCCCAGCCCAAGGTGGCATAAAGCCTGTCAAAGTGTCAGGTACCTGACATTCACCCGATGATTCAGACGCTTGAATGGTGGATGGATCCAACTGATCCAATCCTCCCCCAACAATGAGACAAAAGCGCTGGTCCAATCTCAGCTTCAACCAAATGTCCTGACTGACAGCCTCGAGGGGCCATGCGACGAAACATCTGCCTTTCTTCTCTTTTCTCTACCTTGGACCAAGACTAGTCAGGGAGAGAGCATGGACGAATGCCCAACGTGGGGTGGCCGGGCAACGAGTTCCGTCCGTCCCATTGCAACTCTCGATTGAACCTTGCAGATGCGAAGCGGAGCTCTCAGCCCGCATCGATGGAGCCCTAGCCCTGTGAGGATTGGGTAGAACAGTGGCAGTAGCTCCACTAAATTCGGGGGCAGACGACTGCTGCCAACCCAGCGCTGTCATAATCCCA